CAGGCATTCTATATAATAGTCACTTAAATGGAAGAGGAGGATACTCAGGTACAGGGAGTGTGCAAACCTGTCCTAAATCTACTGCCAGGAGTCCAGTCCAGGTGTCATGAGAGCCAGGACTCATTAAAAAAAAACCCACAAAAAACCAAAATGTTTTTTTCTTTAAAAAATTAAAGTATAACATACAGAAAAGTGCAGAGATAAGTAATATTTAGCTTAATGAATGTTCACTGAGTGAATATGCTATGTAACTAAATACTAAACATTATCTGTACCCTATAAGACCCCTTTCAGTAATGAATCCCACCCTTTTCTTCAAGAGTAACCTTTATACTGATTTCTATAATAAAATCATAAATTAGTTTTGCCTGTTTTTAAACACACACACACATTTCTATTGGGTGTTTACCTGGGGGTGGAATTGTTGGTTATTTCCAAGTAGTTGTACAAATTTTCTGTATGATAGTCTCCTGACTCCACATGTTGGTTTTGGGCCTGGGACCATGCAGGACTCCAGAAGACCTAGATTCTTAAACTGCCCAAGCTGGAAGGATCTTCACAAGTCACTGAGTGCCCCTCCCCTATTTTACAGATGGTAAGACGGAAGCTCAGGAAGGGGAAGTGGCCACAAAGCTGGCAAGGAGCAGAGCTGGCAGGACTGGAGATATGAAACTGGATCCTGGCCAACCCAACTGCAGATGGGCTCTCCTCTCCCCACCCTTCCCGGCCTGGGTGTCCACTTCTTGAGCTGAATATCCTAAGGCAGTGGTCAGCAAACCGTGGTTCAAAAGCCACATGTGGCTCTTTGGCCCCTTGAGTGTGGCTTTTCCACAAAATACCACGTGTGGGCGTGCACGTACAGTATGACTGAAACTTCATGGCCCATGTGCAGAAGTCAGTTTTCAGCCTGGGCGAGTCTATTTTGAACAAGTGTCGTTAGAACACTATGGGTCACTGAAGAAATCCTCACTCTCCTGATATGGCCTCTCCAAGAGTGGGGCCCTGATGGCCAAGGAGGCAGCCGTACTAATGTGTCACTGTCCAGCCCACACACCTGGGGTGACTGTGGAGGATGCCATACCTGGGGCCTATACATCAGCTGACACGGAGGGAAGCTGAGGTCCCTACACAATATGGGCTCAGGGGGCAGTACAGGGAAGCCAGGGAGGGGCTGGGGAGCCAAAGTTATGGGGAGGCCTGGGACCCAGTCCTCACGCTTATGCTACCTCTGCTCTGACCCCCCACAGCCAGCTTGCACTCTGTACCATAGTCTTTCATCCTTGGCATTTATTTGGAATGCTAAGACAGTTATTTTGGAAGGAAGTAAAACATAGAGGTTAATCATACAGACTCTGCCTGGGTTCATATCTCTGCTCTTCTACTTACTTGCTGTGTGACCTTGAGTTAACTTACATACCTCTCTGTGACTCAGTTTCTCTAGCTTAAAAAGCACTTACTCCACGAGGTTGTTGTGAAGTGCCTATGAGTGAAGCACTCAGACCATGTCCAACATATGCACCTTGAACCTAGGTCCTGTGACTCCGAATCCCTTGGTCATTGTACACAACCTAGGTCCTGTGACTCCGAATCCCATGGTCATTGTACACAACATCTCCCAGACACCTGCAGGCCTGGGGGGTGGGGGGTGGAGAGAGGGGACAGTACACCAGTCCTCCAGGAGCTTTCAGTCCAGTGGGGGAGACACAAGTCCTGCTACCAAGGGATCTCCAGTCCGTGGAGAAGTTGGAGTTTCCAGGAGAGAGGGGTAGGAAGGAGACAGATGTTCATGCCTCTAGAGACCCCAGCACCATCCCTCCTTCCATCCTCTGATGGAAGTGCCTACTGTGTGCTGGGTACTTTGCACAGGCTACTATTTCTCTCCCCTCTTCACCCTTCTTTCTTTCTTATTGCAAAGTCCCATCTTCCAGGTTAGGACTGTGATGCTCAGAAAATTTAAGAAACTTGTTTTAGGTTCCCCAGTGAGTCCAGTGGCAAAGCTGGGATTAGAGTCCAGGTCACCTTATGCTAACATGGAAGACCATGTAACCTTGGCTCAAGTTCACCTCTTCCATGAAGTCTTTTCATGTCCCGGATGTAGAACTAACCACTTGTGCCTCTGGGTCCCCATCGTGCCCCAAAGAAATGCCCCATGGCACCTGTATACTTTTTAGGCTTACTTTATTTATATACCTGTCTCCCTTCGTTAGGCAGTGAGCTTCTTGAGAGCAAAGAGTGATCTTGGCCATCTCTGAATCCCCTGTACATCCTGAATATAGCACCGAGTTCGTGCACAATAGCTGTTTTATTTTATTTAAAAAATATATTTTATTGATTTTTAACAGGAAGAGAGAGAGGTAGAGAGCCAGAAATGTCGATGAGAGAGAAACATTGGCCAGCTGCCTCTTGCACACCCCCCACCGGGGATGTGCCCGCAACCAATGCATATGCCCTTTGACTGGAATCAAACCTGGGACCTTTCAGTCCGCAGACTGATGCTCTTCCACTGAGCCAAACCGGCTTCGGCCACAATAGCTGTTTTATAAATATGTGTTGCATGAATGATGAGAGGTGATTGGAAGGTCTCATGTCCATTTTCCTGCCTCCTTGGAATTATCCCAGTGATAAGGGGGCATCAGAGGATGGAAGGAGGGATGGTGCTGGGGTCTCTAGAGGCATGAACATCTGTCTCACCTGTAACCTTTACAGTTCCCCACACTCGTCTATACTCATGCTTCATCCCCAGGCATTTGCCCTGGCTCACTCCAGTCTCTCCTGCACGCCTTCCTCCATGTTCTGCAACACTGTCTTTCCCAGCGCCTTTGCTGTCTAGAGGACAAGTCTGGCATTGAGATCAGAACCATCCCATTTTATTTTCATTAGAGCTTAAGAGGTAGGATAAGTGGAAGTGGCCTATCTTCATTTTACCTGTAAAACTTTCCAGCTTCACAAGGCTGCTGTCCAAGTTCATACAATACGTTGATGGCAGAACTGGGCAGAACTGGGCCCAGTATGATGTAGGAAGGGAACAGAGCTTAGGGCAGTTTTCTGAATCAGGGACAGGCTGGGCTTCCCCCCAGGACTTGAGGGCCCTGGCTCTGGGGCACAAGTTGGTCTGTGAAATGGCATGGAGAGAATCCTAGAACCTTCTTTAAAAAAATATATTTTTATTGACTTCAGAGTGGAAGGGAAAGAGAGAAACATCAGTGATGGGAGAGAATCATTGATCGGCTGCCTCCTGCACACCCCCAACTGGGGATTCAGCCTGCAACCCAGGCATGTGCCCTTGACCGAAATTAAACCTGGAACACTTCAATCCATAGACTGACACTCTATCCACTGAGCCAAACCAGTTAGGGCTTTTTAAAATTATTATTTAAAAATTTTTATTTTTCAGTTACAATTGAGAATCCTAGACTTGTCCCTGGCCAGAACTTGCCAGGCCTTCTGCAGTCTTGCCAGTAGGTGTCATCAGTTTGCAATTTTTGGTTCTGTCCCTCCAGTTCCAGCTTCCTCCTATCACCTGTGCAGTCTGCACTTGCACAAAGTAGGAGAGGGAGCAATCCCTGTGAGACTGAATCACCCCTGTTCTGGGAAAGGATGCAGGAAGAGGGTCTTTGATTAGCATTTCAGCTTGGCTGCCCTGCAGCTTTCTAGGCAAAGAAAAAATAAAATCCACAGTAGGTCACTAATTTTGCCTGGACAGGAGCCAGCTCCAGGAGAGCAGAAGCGTTTTTGTTTGCGGGGGAGGATGGGGGAAGCACTAAGGGACCTGAGAGAGAACCTGGGAGATGGGTCCTGGCTCCAAATGTTACCCTGGTGGACCTCCCAATCAGCAGGATTGAGGCAAGGGTGAAGGACACAGGCATCAACAGGATCTCACAAAGGGCCTAGCCAACCCCAACTAGCAACACTGGAATGAGAAAAACCCTATACAAGTCTACAAAGACTACAGGGAAATGGTGCCCTCTGGAGTTGTGCATTGCACAATTTGTATGCACACAGAGTGGCAATCTCCCAAGCCGCTCCACCCCCCCTTCCCCCCAGGAGTGGGTCTGGGCAGTAAAAGAAAATATGGGGGGGGGGGGAAGAAGGCGGAGGAAGAGGCTGCGCGCCTCCCTCCCCAGTTCAGTGATTCCACTGGGGAAGGCAGAGGGGACCAGGGCCCACATGAACCTTGGGAGACTGGGAGAGGAAGGGGGTTGGAAGGGGAAAGTATGAAGAGAGTCTTAGTACCATGAGGCCCTTCTAGGCCCCTCGTTGTGTACCTGTACTTCTCCCCCCACCTCACCCGACTGGTTGAGACTGGAAGCACTGGGTAGGGTGGAAAGGACTGGCCAGGGAGACTGAATCCGCGGAGCCCACCCGGAGTCGGAGTCCAAGGTTGTGCTCTCAGTGGGGGGTCTGGGGCCACCTTTGTGGATCGGGATGAAGCCTCCAAGGTTGGGGGAGGGGGCCATGGAGTAGCCTCTTCGCTTCTCCAACTCCCTCCTCTCCCCTCCCTTCCCCTCCCCTCCGGGCTCTGGCTCTGCAGCGCTCGGCGGCGCCTATCAGGGTTTGCAAACTGCGCTGCTTCCTTCTTGGGCAGAAAAGGACTTTCAGCTGCAGCCGAGTAGAGAGCCCCCTCCCCCTAACGGCTGCGTCTCCCGCTCCCCCTCTCCCTCCCTCCCTCCCTCGCCCGATCCCCCACCTCTGGGCAGGCGCTGGGGGTGTGGCCAGAGGCTGCTATAAAGTCCGGGGTAGCCGTCCCGGGCCGCCGCTCTGTCCCTTCCCCCCGCCTTCTGGACCCGGCCGAGGATGCGGCGCAGCGCCTCGGTGGCCAGAATCGCTGCTCTCCAGCCCGCTTGCTAACTTCCCTGCCTCCTTCTCTGTCCGCTGGGCTAGCGGGCCGCCCCGTCTCCCCCACTCTCCCGATCCGGTCCTCCAGGCGCGCCGGGCGCTGCTTCCGTGTGCCTCCCGCTCCCCGCCCGCACCTGGCGCCAGCGCCCCGTCCTCGCCCGATCATGCTGCCCCTCTGCCTCGTGGCCGCGCTGCTGCTGGCCGCCTGGCCCGGGCCGAGCCTGGGAGACGAAGCCATCCACTGCCCGGCCTGCTCCGAGGAGAAGCTGGCTCGCTGCCGCCCCCCCGTGGGCTGCGAGGAGCTGGTGCGGGAGCCCGGCTGCGGCTGCTGTGCCACTTGCGCCCTGGGCAAGGGGATGCCCTGCGGGGTGTACACTCCCCGCTGCGGCTCGGGCCTGCGCTGCTACCCTCCCCGGGGAGTGGAGAAGCCCCTGCACACACTGATGCACGGGCAAGGCGTGTGCATGGAACTGGCGGAGATCGAGGCCATCCAGGAAAGCGTGCAGCCCACCGGTAAGGTGCCTCTGCCCTTGCACGTCCTCCCTGGCGTGCGGCCCTCCCCCTTTCCCCGTAGGCCTGGCCCGGGAGGCCCTTGAAAGTCCCCTGTGAGTTGAGGAGAAGGTAGGTACGTGGCAGGGCCCTCCTGGCATGGGACAGGCTCAGCCAAGCCAAGTGCTGCCCAGTCTCTAACTGCCTGTTGCCACGGTCAAGGAGGACTCTGTCCCGTCCCTCCATCTCAAACCTCCCTGGGATGCCTACTTGGGAAGAGTGGTCTTGGCTGCTGGTGCAAGAGTGGAAAATTAAGTGACCTGGGCCAGCCCACAGGCTGCAAGTGAGCCAGATAACTGGAGGATGGGGGAGGGGCAGGAGGGAGAGGGAGAGGAGAGCTTCCTATTGCTGATCCCCTCACCACAGGTGAAAACCCCAGGGCTCTGAAAAGCCAGAGCTTGGACTTTTGAGAGTGAGGTGGGAGGACTGGGGCATGCATCCGAGAGGGGCTTTGGTGGTGAGGGGCCGCAGAGTTGCTCTTCCCCAAAGCCCCAGGCCAGCTCACCTAGCCATTTGGGGGTACTGGGAAGATAGGGGTCTCTCTACCGGACCTGGGCACCTCCACTTGTCCTGGTACACAGGCATCCCTCTTTTTTCTCTTGGCAGATGCCATTTGAGGTGGCAGAAGGAAGCAAGTCTGGGCTCCCAGCCCAGAGCTGCAGAAACCTAACGGGTGTGGGCTAGAGAGTAAAAAAGAGAGAGAGAGGGGGACAGACTTAGAAGGCCCTTTGCCTTAAACTCTTTCTTATCCTTTCTCTTTTCCATTTCTCAGTGAGCCTCTCAGTTGCTCCTTCTAATCTTTCTCAGTCTCTTTCCTCCTGTCTCTTTGTTCTTTCCTGCTGTGTCTTTCAGCCTCTAGTTTCACAAGCAATGTTCTGGAGTCCTCCTTTCCCCATTGCCTTTTGCCCACCATCAGTTTCTTTCTCTTTCTCTTTTTCTGTCTTATTACCCTTTTCTGTTTCTGTTGCCCTCTGCTTCTCTCACTCTCATCTCTGTCTCTTTCTGTGTTGCTGTTTCTCTTTCTTTGTTCCCGTCTTTCTGTTACTTTTGGAAAATCAATCCCCCCACCCCCCCGCCCCCTCTCTCCCTGCTTTCCTTGCGTCTGCTTTTGTACCTTATTCCCTCTCTGACTGTTTTGCTCTCCCTGTGCGCCTCTGTCTGTCTGTCTCTTTTCCTGGTCTTTGAAGCTTTCATTGTTATAGTCCGGATGCTGGGACTCTGGCCCAAGCTTCCTGCCTGGGTCCCAGACCGCCCCACTTCCTCAATCCTCTGCAGCTCTTAGCTGGAGGAGAGCAGGATGCAGGGAAAACAGGAAGGAGGTGGACCCCAGGGGTCTGGGCTTCAGGCCTCGCTGCCCTTCCTTCTCTGGGCAACAAGAGATGGGTCAGCAGAAAACATTCTGGGAGAAATGCCAGCCTGGCACCCAGCACATCTGGAAAGGGGGGCAGTCCTCGGGGAATACGCCGCTGATCATGGGGGCAGAGATGCCGGTGCCAGTGGGAGAGGAGGGGTACTGGTACCAGACCTAGTCCCAAGGCTAGGGGACCTAAGGCTTGGGGACCTAAGCCTCTTCTCTCTGCCTTTTCCTCTTCGGGCTGAGCTTCAGCAAGTGGCTGAGGGAGGGCAGTCACTTGGCCTGCCTCCTTCCCTGAACTGCTGTGGCCCAGTTGCCTACTATTTCCCCCAGGGGCAGGCCCCCCCTCCATCCCACCTCCAGGCTCCCCCACCTCCCTGTCCTGGCTTTTTGAGCCACAACAGGTTGTGGATTGATACCACTCAGGCCACCAGAAGTGGGGATGGGGTGGACATGTACGTCAGAAATCCGCAATTCTGCCTAAGTGCGCTGACCCTGGATTCATGGAATCTGGGGGAGTAGACAGTGGCATCGATGTTTGGACTAGGGAGTTCCACTGGGACAGGGTTAGGGAACATGCAGGCCAGGTTAATTTTTAGTCAGCACAGCAAATACTGTCGTCCCCCCCCCCCCCCCACTTCAGTACTAGGAATCCAGTCGTGTCATGGAAACAGGGCCTTCTCAGAATTTCTGTGTCTCTCTGGGAGGGAGGAAGGAGGGTCATAGCTAAATATGATTTTTTTTTTTTTTTTAGTATTGGGAAAGTGAGAATTATTGGTGCCTTGGGTATCAGGAGTCTTTCTGTTTAAAGGCATAGGAGCTGTAGAGATAAATCTCTCCTCCTTCCCTTCCACCCAGTAGGACCTGCCTCCCAGGGTGGGATGTCTAGTGTGGAGTAAGAGCTCAATAAAGTGGAGCAGTGACGAAGATGGCGATGAAGAAGACGCTGAATGGATTTAACGTCAAGCTTAAATCCCCCTCTGAGGTTGGGATTTTGGGGGACAGTAGGCAATGGAATAAAGCTGGGGGACATGCAGAGGAGTTGAGAGGTAGGGGGACTTTGATGCCTTTTCCTGCTGTAAACACGGGAGGAACAGGCCAGCTGTCCTTGTCTCTGACTCTTGAGGCCAGCAGTGTGTCACAACAGTGAGGGAGACATCCCGTGAGCCAGAACTTCAAAAAAGGGTCTGGTACCCAACATGGTGGCCTTGACTTCTCCAGCCAGAGTTCAGGGGAAGAAGGAAAAGGCCTTCCAGGGCAGGTGGGTGACCTTCCGGGTCATGCCTGGAACCATCCACCTCACAGTCTCATCTCACCCTGGGGGTCTTGAGTGGGGCAGGGGCTGGAGTTGAGGAATCATGGGGATGAAATCAGGCAGCAAGAAAGCGGAAATCCTCTAGCTTTGACCATGAACGTTGCAGCCAGTAGTGCCAAAGCTGTGAAGCCTCTTTTTTCTCTGGGTGCCTTCCCTTCCTCTTCTGCTGGAGCAAAATCCAAGGTTTCCCCTGTGGCTGCATGTCTTTGGCCTCACTCTAAGCAGGGGCTGGAGGAGGTAGTCTACCTCAGAAACCCCATCTCTCAGACCTTTTGGAATTCAGGAGGCCAGATCTTTCAGGGGGCTAGGTCTGACTCCAGCCCCTGCTCGGAGGGGAGCCCACCAGGACTGGGGTTTTCCAGATGGCACCACGTGGGTGAGCAGCACCAGGTGGCCAGTTTTGGAGGTGGGATGGTTCGGTTCACATTTTTGCAGAGACTCAATGCTGTGATACTCACCCTCCCAAGCCAGGTGCCTTGGGGTGGGAACTTGGTGTGCTGGACAAGGAAAAGTTACAGATTAAATGGAAAGTCAACAAGCGAGGGTATAGCCAGGATGCCCTGCCCTAGATCTGTGTCTGCCCAGGCTGGGTCAGAGTGCCTGAGTGCATGTAGGTGTGCACAAGTGCGTGTCTGGACATGTGATTGTTTGTATATGTTTGTAATTCTTGGATCCCAGCCTCTCTGTGTCTGAGTGGACAGATATGGATATAGTCCAGGTACCTATGTCCCCATGAGAGACACTAAGGAGCTGCTGTCCTTGTCTTGGTGTGTTCTTCTCTAAGCTTACACACAAGGTAGGCACACATGTGCTAGGTGGTGGGGACACAAAAAATGGGGAGACCAGGCATGCTGCCTGCTCATCTTCCCCAGGTAACCTCTATATGACATGGGGCCCTCCCAACACAAGAACATAAGCTATGCTTCTAGGCTCCATGCAGCCCCAGATTTCAGTGAGTAGACCCAGTTGTCCTGAATGAGACCGCTCCAGTTAAGGTATACACATTTTCAAATATCCACTAGTCATCCCTCAAGCATTGGTCATTTGCGGACTTTGACTCATAGAACTTCAACATTGGAAAGCCTGGTTGCAGTTGAACTTCTATTCCAGATGTCTCTAGATTCTTGAGGCCTCAAACCCTCGGACGCTCCACATCTTAGTACTCTACCTCCTGAAACAGCCCCGTTCATAGAAAACTCTTTCTGTTCTTGAACCCAAGAACATTCTGCCCATTTACTACCAAGGGGAATAAGTGTCACTGCAAAGTAGCCCTTTCGTTTATGACCGTGAAAACACACTCAAAGGAAAGACAGTAAAACCTTTCCAGCTTAGAAGGGCACTCGAGTTGGTGTTACATGTGAGTCTTCTGGGCTGTCCTTGGGATGTTACGTGTGCTGAAGAACGGGGTGTATCTCTGCTCCATTTATTTCTTCCCTCCGATTCCTCTTTCTAAGCCAGCCTGCTACTCGTGACAGGGCCTTCTTTCCATCCTTGATGACTCAATTTTATAAATAACCCGTTGGAGTCTTGACAAAGACTTTCTGAGGGTCTCGATTCTCCCTGGCTTGGCTTTCCTTTATCTGCGTGTTTCTCCCCATACTCCCAGGTCTAGGAGAATAAAGAGAGAGCTAACCTCCGCTCCACTTCTACCCCCAACTCACTCTGGCCAGGCAGAAAAATACCATTTGACCCAGAGGCAGCTCTGGGACCACTGCCATACTTGGAGGAACCTGCTAACTACTCAGGAAAAAAAGAAACCCTGACACAAACCAGATGCAGCCTTCTGTCTGTCCGCCAACATCTGGAATGCTGGCAGTGTGAGCTGCTAAGCTGAGCATTTCAGAGGAGGCTCTGATGTGCAACCCCTTCCTCCAGCTCAGCCCTGGAGTCTGGATTTGGCTGCCCCGAGGGAGAAGCAGCAGTTGCAATTGTGTTTTTCTTAAGTTCAGATAGAGCCTTTAGGACATCGCAGGGAGGGAGTGCAGGCCCAGCCTTTCCACCCCCATCTCCAGATCCCCAGTGCCCTGACTCTGGGCATCAAACATGGACTTTGGAGGAGGGTCTGAAGTCTAAGGGTAGGGGACTGAAGGGATGTGGAAGGTATATTCTTGGTCCTAGGGCCACGTAGAGCATTACCCAAGTATGCACACAGTTACTTGCAAATGCAGGCATACACACACACACACACACACACACACACACACACACACACACACTTTTCTCCTGTCCAGCCAATGGGGAGAGCCTGTTGGGTTGGATTTCTCATCACTCATGGAAACTTTGATTCTGGCCATTTGGAAGAGGGTCAGCAGGGTTGGCAGCCCTGGGGATCCTGAGGCTGGCTCAGCCAGACGCTGAAAAGAGCAGGAAAGGAGACAGGAAGAGAGAGCAGATGGAGAAGGGGGGTGGTAGGAGGAGCTGACTAGGAGAAAAGATCCGGTGGGGGACCCTCCTGCCTGCCTCAGACCTCTCAGCAGAGCCCAGGGGAACCTCCCGTCTGGGCAGCTGCAGCTGGTGACTCATCTGAGGGCTGGACTGGGTGGGTGAGGGGCAAGTCAAGGACTTTGAGAAGAATAGTCTTCTGAGGAGTTCCAGGGGAGTGGGAAGGAGACAGGGGTGCTGTTTTGACTTTCTCCTACTCCTAGACACACCCCCCCCCCGCCTCCATGCTTCCCATGTCAGGCTGGTGAGCCCACAAGAGGCAGAAAGCAGGGGGAGGCTGGGTCGGTGTGCTGCTCTGTCTTTTCCCCATGCTGACCTCTTCCCATCTTGGCCTGATTGCAGAGAAGGATGAAGGTGACCACCCCAACAACAGCTTCAGCCCCTGCAGTGCCCATGACCGCAAGTGCCTGCAGAAGCACTTCGCCAAGATTCGAGACCGGAACACCAATGGGGGCAAGATGAAGGTCATCGGGGCACCCCGGGAGGAAGTCCGGCCTGTGGTGAGGACCTCTGACTTCAAGTGCACATGTTCACAGACACACACCACCACCACCACCACCACCACCACCACCACATCTGGCCTATGTGCTTTGGATGCCTATGGTGTATAATATACATTGTCAGGATCTAGAGTCCTCATTCCTTTCCTTAAAATTCCATTCCTGCTTGGTAGTTCTCTATATTGGCACAGCCAAAGTGATTTTTAAATACTGAAATACTTTTATCCTAGTTGGTAACTCATGGTTGCCCCAAGCTTCCTGATATACCTTGGCTTTCTCTTGGACTCCCCACCCCAGACCCTCTCAATCTCTAAAAGGTTAATGCTGGCCATAGCAAGGGGTCATGGAACCCTGTTCCGAAGTCCAGCAAATGTCCTTTCTGACGGATGGTTCCGATGGCTCCGTGCCTGGATCTTACAAGTTGTTGATTGCATGATTTTTATGTTTTTTATTTTTATTTATTTATTTATTTATTTATTTATTATAAATTTTTATTGATTTTATACAGAGAGGAAGGGAGAGAGAGAGTTAGAAACATCGATGAGAGAGAGTCATCGATCAGCTGCCTCTTGCACACCCCCTACTGGGGATATGCCCGCAACCAAGGTACATGCCCTTGACCGGAATCGAACCCGGGACCCCTCAGTCCCCAAGCCGACGCTCTATCCATTGAGCCAAACCGGTCCCGGCTGATTGCATGATTTTGTTCATCCCTCTTGCTTAGACATCACCCCCTTCCAGTCCTTCTCCATAGGTCTCTACAGCTCCTTTCCCACAGGGTTCCTTCACCTCACACCTCTCCTTTTTAGAAGCTCTTTGACCTGAGAGCCTGTCTTCCGTGTCCCTCTGCTCTTCCCACCAGTGTCTTCAGAACCCAAGCCACGCCCTTCACCTCACTGGGCCCTGACCCTGACCTTTGGGCTTTGACCCTACTTTCAAAGCCTTCAGTCCTGAGATGACCCCCGTCTCTGGTTCTCCTGTCCCTTTTCTCTTCTGCTGAGCAGTTTTATCCTCTCTCTCTCTCCTCCAGCCCCAGGGCGCCTGCCAGAGTGAGCTGCACCGGGCCCTGGAGCGGCTGGCCGCCTCCCAGAGCCGCACCCACGAGGACCTGTACATCATCCCCATCCCCAACTGCGACCGCAACGGCAACTTCCACCCCAAGCAGGTGGGTCACCCTCTGTCTCCTCTGGGCCCTGGCCTCAGCTCCAGGGGCACCAGACAGGGTCATCCGGGATAGATGTCTCAGGAAGGGGGAGGCTTCCCAACCCCTAGGATCCTCCCCAAACCTTCTCCTCAGCTTTAGGACCTCAGTTCACTTTGCCCACATCACTCATTTTGGGATAAGGAGACTGAGGCCCAAATTCACAGAGCAAGTTAATGGCAGATGGACTCTCCTGCTTCCCCATCCAGGACTATTTTCTCCTCTTGATTCACAATCTGAGACATTTACCTGGTACTCCTGCCAACCTCTGCCTCCCATCACCTTCTCACTCATCCTACTCCCTTCCTATGAGTAGTTCTCCTTCGTCATCGAATGTCTGTCTGCCCTGGAAATGGAGGGACTAAGTCACGAGGGGTTAAGGAGGAAACAGCCTGACCCTTACCCCAAGTTGAGCAGCCAAACCACTTGGGGTACAGCCAGGATGGAGGTGATGCCAGATCTGACAGCTGGAGTTAGGGCTTCGGGTAGAAGCCGAGGAAGGAGGTAGGCAGAAGAGAAGATGTGAGTGTAGAAACCTCTGTGCCCCTCGTACCCTTGGTGTTCAAGAAGACTGGCCTGCTCCAGCCCCATCTCTGGCCTGTCGGAGTTGGGCCCACATGAAAGGGTTACATATCTGGGCAGAGCACTGGGGTGCCTCGTGTTGGGTGTTAGTTCCTTCAGGCTCCAGGTCAGCTCTGCTCCTGGCGGAACTAATACTGATACATTATAGTAACTAAAGTCCATAGTTTACATTAGCTTTCATTCTTTGTGTTGACAGTTCTATGGGTTTTCTTCCCCCAATTATTTTTCCTACTGAAAGGTCTGACCCTTGCACCTTGACCCCCCAGACTAAATCTGACCCTTGAGACGACTTTCACTTCAACTTTAATCCTGAATCTTAAATACACCTTTGCCTCCTGCCTTCCCTATCCACCTTTCCCTCTCCCCTTCCTGTTCTAATCCCAATCCAACCTTGAGCCCAACTGCTTTAGTTGTTCTAACTTTGACCTCTATCTTTATCCCAACTCTGTTTCTGACCTGGACTCTGAGTCTCACCTAAATCAATTTTAGTCATAATTCCCAATTCAACTGCAATTCTCTATCCTGATGGTACCATAACTTCAACTTGGATCCCGCTATTACCCATAATCTCATTCCTTTAAAAAAAAAGAAATACACATTTTTAGTGATTTCAGAAAGGAAGGAGAGGAGAGAGAAACAGAAACATCAATGATGAGAGAGAATCATTGATTGGCTGTCTCCTGCATGCCCCCATCAGGGATGGAGCCTGCAACCTGGGCATGTGCCTTGACCAGGAATTGAACTCTGTGACTTCCGGGTTCATAGGTTGATGTTCAACCACTGAACCATGCCAGCAACGCTTTAATCCCATTCTTAAAAGTCCCAAACTAATGAGGACACACTCAAAACATCTCCAGCTTCACCTCTAAATCCTATGGATCCAATTTCCTCCTAGGAAGGCTACAGAACTTCCTCAGGGCGCTGTCTTTTAAAACTCTCTGGACCTTTCCTTCTTGGCCAAGTTCTCACTCTGCTTCAGCGAGCTCAGAAGATTTGTGCTCACGAGAGAGCCTTTGGCCTCAGGGCTGTCATGGAGCAATTGTCTGATTTGGGGACCCGGCTGGGATTGGGGTTCAGCTGACTGACCTCTCATGCCCTTGTCTTGACAGTGCCACCCCGCCCTGGATGGGCAGCGTGGCAAGTGCTGGTGTGTGGACCGGAAGACAGGAGTGAAGCTTCCGGGGGGCCTGGAGCCGAAGGAGGAGCTGGACTGCCACCAGTTGGCTGACAGCTTCAACGAGTGAGCCCTACCAGCAGGCAGGGGGCTCCCTGCCCCCTGCTCCCCCTCCCCCTGGAGGCTGCAGAGCTGACCTGGAGCCTGGATCTGAGTTCTGGCTCTGCCTCTGGTCCAGAAGTTTTCCTCGGCATGTGTGGTGTGTGTGTGTGCGTTGATGAGCATAGATGTACCCTTGGGGTGAGCCGGAGCCTAGGGGTGTCCTCTTGGGGCTTAGGTAGCCTAAGAGGTCAGAGTGGCAATGGGGAGCCCTGGTGTGTTTCCAAATTGACCCTGGATTCATTCATTCTTTTATTCATTCAAGTCATCTAAAAACATTTACTGGCTACATATTACAGCCAGCTCTAGATCTCAGCCCAGGGTGGGGCGCTCTAATTCTGACTTCCTCTGATGTGGACAAGTCTGTGGGAGGAGAGAAGTTCCATGCCGAGGAGGAAAGTCGACATGTACCTTGACGTTGTCCCTCCCTCAATCTAGGGGTAGAGAGGAGGCCACAGGGAAGATGTGGGGTAGCAGATGGCTCAGTGGCCAGGAGATCAGACCCACTCCCAAAGCTGAGGGCTGCCAAACTCCTCTCCTCTTCGTCCCCAGGCCCTCCAAGGGCAAGGACCCGCAGAGACAAGCCTGCTTTGGGGCTGGGGGAATGCTATCTGCTTGATTGCCTGGCAGCGGAATCCTTGCTGTGGAGCAAGGGAGAGGTCCTCGGAAGGCCTGCAAACAGAGGGCTGGGGTGGCGAGGCTCCTGTCGGAGCAGTCAGGGAGGGAGGGAAGAATGTGTAATTGGAATGTGTATGCCTGATGGAGGAAAGGACCAGCGTAATGGGATTGGGCGGGAGGGAGGGACTTGCCTGGGGTCCCGTTCCTTCCATTTGTAGTCAGAGCCACGAGATCACCAGCATGACTCCATCTTGCTCACAGCCTGCGCCTCTGCCTCCTGCTCCACACCCCCTTCCCTACAGCTCCCGCACCTGTACCCTGCCCGCTGGATGGAAGGAGACTTAGGGACCTACCAGTTGGCCATGATGTCTTTTCTTTCTTTCTTTTTTAACAAAACAAAACAAAACAAAAAACAATACAATTGTGTTTTGCTTATTTATTTAAATTAGAGACAGAGTATACCAGGGAAGGGAGGCCTATCCTACATAGTAGAAGGACTCTAAGACTCAGCCAATTCACCAGCCTCTCCCTGCAGCCTTTTTCGGAGGGGCCTCTCTGTCCCCCAAGTCTGTGCTGTTGGTGTTCCTACTTTTGGTGGGGAATTACTGGCTTCCAAACGGAGGGAGGGAGCCGGACAGCCCTGCTGGGCCAGAGCTGTTCCTGGGAGCAGCTGGTGTGAGGCTGGGGCATTTCCTAGGTCGGCAAACTCATTAGGCAACAGAGCCAAATATCAACAGTGCAACGATTGACATTTCTTTGGAGAGCCACATTTTTAAAACTTAAACTTATAATGTCACTTCTTCAAAATAGCCCAGGCCGTGTTATTTTGTAGAAGAGCCACATTCAAGGGGCCAAAGAGCCGCAGTTTGCTGACCACGGTCCTAGGGCATCAGGCAGGTTGGGCTTGCATCTGATTTTGATTTATTAATTTGGGGGCGGGGAGGCACTGCCCTGAAGCCTGGGAAAGGGGTAAACTTTCCACCACATTCCACAGCTCTGCGTGCTTAGATTCCTGATTGGGGGTTGTGCTGAGATTTGATTCTGATGTGTCGAGGGGTTGGGCATCTTTGATCTTGCTGTCCTGGGCACACCAGGCTGTGGACCTTTGGTGGCAGCCCCCAAATTTGTGCCCACAGGGTACGATTGGATTCCTGGTCATTTCCTAATGTCCCTTCTCTCCCGGACCTCTGTGCCAGGCACTGATTCCTTGGGTAAAGGTCCCTTTTTGGGGGTTCACAGGCAGCCTGGGGACCCTGTGCACCAAGCTATTGCACTCGGGGGGAGCACCCTCCTGTCTGACCTGGTCTCTGGGGGAGTACCCACCTGTGTGGCTAGTTCCTGGATTCCTAGGGTCTCCCCAGTTCCAGAGGTGTTGCCAGCCCTCAATTTCACTGGTCTCTGATGTGCGGGCACCTGTGCTGCCTGCATTTTGAGTCTGGGCTACAGTCCTCTCCCATCTCTAGCTCAGCCATCTAGTCTCCCTGAGGCACCATTGGCCCCTGGCAGCAGGAGAAAACGAACAAAGATGGAAATTTCTTTTGAGAGCCACATTTTTTAAACTTAAACTTCTTCTAACGCCACTTCAACATAGACCTGCCCAAGGCCATGGTATATTGTGGAAAAGCCACACTCAAGGGGCCAAAGAGCGGCAGTTTGCGGACCATGGCTCTAGGCCATAGGTGCCGAGCCACATCAGGCATTTGGTTTCCATTTCCCAGCTCATTAGTGGCGATCCAGCCCTGATGTCGGCTGGAGGTTGGGGGCTGAGTTGGCTGGAGGTTGGGGGCTGAGTTTTCCGTTGGCAAGAAGGCAGGGTGGGAGCAGAAAGAAAACACGGAGCCCTGGACAGTCTCTGGCATTGGATTCAGGTGGGGAACTCTGGAGAGCTGGCCAAGCCTCCCGGCCCCTCCTCCTTTCAGGGCCCCAAGGTTCCAGCCACTGCCAAGGCTCCCACTCCTTCCAGGAAAAGGCTGCTCCGACCAGAACAGCCTCTCCTCTGCTCCTGGGGCTAGATTCCCCCAAGCTGCTCCAGGAATGTTCTGAAGCACGCAGGACTTGGGGCGCCTGCTTGGGAGAGGGGAAAGGGGGAGATGGCTGTGTGGTAAAGGACCCTGGAGCATTTCCAGCCAGAGAAATGCCCCCCTGTATTTTATATTTTTAATTTTTTTAATTTTTTATTTTTTAAATATATTTTATTGATTTTTTACAGAGAGGAAGGGAGAGAGATAGAGAGCTAGAAATGTCGATGAGAGAGAAACATCGACCAGTTGCCTCCTGCACACCCCCCTACTGGGGATGTGCCCACAACTTGTGTGGCTTTTCCACAAGTGTGGCCCTTGACCGGAATCGAACCTGGGACCCCTCAGTCCACAGACCGACACTCCACCACTGAGCCAAACCCACTTTGGCCCCCCTGCATTTTAGACCCCTATGTCAATGTCACCTCTGACCTAAAGAACGTCAAGAGGATGTGGTTGGATGGAGCTGGGAGGTGGGCTGGCGGCTGGAATGTTGGGTGGTCCCAGGGAAGAGGGGCGGAGAGGGGCCCAGCTTGTGAGTCAGGGGGCAGGGTCAGCGGGGAGAGGGAGTTTATGGAAACAGTAAGTAGAGGAGAGACAATGGGGCACTTTTGGGCACACCCCCGGGGAGCAGTCGCCACTCCAGCCAGCCAAGGGTCTAATTAGATCTTCACTGTCAGGGTGACCTATCGCTTCTCTGCCTGAGGCCCCAGGGCTGGGGAGGGTTGGGGTCAGGGAGTAGGGGAGTGTGTGTGCTACAGATAATTAGAAACATGCTCTCCTGAGCCAGCAGGCACCACCAGGACTGCCTCTGTCCTCACTGCCCCCCTCTGCCTCCCCCAGATCTCTAATCCCCTTCCCCACAACCTAGCCGATTCCAGCCAGGGAAGGGGAGGGGCTGGAGGGGCCTGGGAGGAGAAACCCGGTGGGGATGGCTTCCCAGGCCCTTACACACTCTCTGAAGTGCAAACAACATATTTTCACCATGCAATGGTATTTAATTACACACAAAAACAGAGCCATTAAACTGAAATTAAACCCGTTTTGGAACCACTTAATTCAGGGCATGACAAATTGCTTTCAGCAGAGGCAGCAGTGAAGGCCCCTCAGGCAGAAACGGAGATCAGCTGCTTCCACAGCTGGTGCGGAGAGGGTGGTATAGGGGTGTGGGGACGGTTGGGGGGAGGGGGGCGCGCTGTTCTCCTGGCCCCCTTGCCAGCTCTAAATTCTAAAATTGGGGTCAGAATCTTCTTTGTAAAGACCACCCAGGCCAAAGGGAAATCTCTAAGTTTGTTTAGGATAAGAAAAAACCCACTTTATTTATTTATTTTTAAAAATATTTTTATTGATTTCAGAGAGGAAGGGAGAGGGCAGAGAGAGAGAAACATCAGTGACGAGAGAGAATCACGGATTGGCTGACTCCTGCATGCCCCACACGGGATGGAGCCGGAAACCCAGGGTCCATTGACCTGGAATGGAACCGTGACCTCTTGGTTCACAAGTTGCTGCCTAACCACCAAGCCACACCCGCACCAGCTGTGCTGTTCAGCCCACTTTTAGACAACTCAGTCCGTCTCATCGATGGGGAGGTCGAGGCCCAGATGCCAAGGTCAATAAGAGCCAGAGATTCAAACTCTGGCGCTGAGCCAGGACCAGGGAGGCCCTTGTTTTCAGATGTGTATCCTTTCCCCGGGGCCCGGAGACGGAACATGGGCCTGGGAGGGTGAGGGTTGGGGAATCGGAGCAGGGAGGGTAGATTTCTCCAGAACTGGGCTCCCACCTGGTCCAAGCTTGGAAATAGCAGAAAAGGCAAGAAGGGGGCCCTGGGACATGGGGCTGCCGAGGCAGCTTTGGCTTCCTGGAGGGCAACCTGGGTCTCAGACCCTGGCATCACACCTGCTGGGTGTGATTGCTAACCAGCTGGGTGAGGTTGGGCAGGTAAGACTTTCCCTGAGGCCAGAGCCTCAGTTTCCCCAGCTGTCAAGTGGGGTCGCTCGTTTCTGTGTACAGAATGAAGACCAGTGAGCAGAGCATGTGAACAGGGCCTGGGCCGAGGTCAGGAAGTGGTGGTTTGGGACCCCGTTCACAATAAGGTGCTGCTGGGATCTGGTGGTTTCCAGAACCTTCACTTGCCCAGACGCCCTGTTTGCAGCCCTTCTTCTTCCTCCGCGTTCCTTCAGCTTCCCTCTTCTCCTCTGTGGCCTGGACATCTAACTCCCGACAGAGGTCTGGGTCTGTGCTTAGACGTAGGGACAAAAAGGGGCAACACACTAACCCTGACAAGCTCAGGGGAGGCCCGCAAGGCAGCCTTACAAACTGAGACAGATGTGCCCGG